TGTAAAAACTGGGAGGAGTTAGGGGGGTAAATTTGGCTATAATAATAAGAATATATATGTGAGATAACAGGAAGTGGTCGCCATGCAAGAACACTTAACAAACAAGACATAGAAGGAAGAAGAAGGAAGAAGAAGCAGGAGAAAGAAGAAGTAGAAGAAGAAGGAAGAAGAAGAAGAAGAAGAAGGAAGAAGAAGAAGAAGAAGAAGAGGAAGAAGAAGAAGAAGAAGAAGGAGAAGGAGAAGAAGAAGAGGAAAGCAGAAGAAGAAGTAGAAGAGGAAGAAGAAGAAGAAGAAGAAGAGGAAAGCAGAAGAAGAAGAAGAAGAAGAAGAAGAAAGCAGAAGCAGAAGTAGAAGAAGAAAGCAGAAGAAGCAGAAGGGAAAGCAGAAGAAGAAAAAAAGAAGAAGAAAGCAGAAGAAGAAGAAGAAGAGGAAAAGGAAAGCAGAAGCAGAAGAAGAGGAAAAGGAAAGCAGAAGCAGAAGAAGAAGAAGAAGAAGAGGAAGAAAGCTGAAGAAGAGGAAGAAGAAAAAAGAAGAAGAAGAAGAAAGCAGATAAAGAAGAAGAGGGAAGAAGAAGAAGAAGCAGAAAGAAGAAGAAAAAGAAGAAAGCGAAAGAAAGAAGAAGAAGAAAGAAGAAGAAAAAGAAGAAAGCAGAAGAAAGAAGAAGAAAGAAGAAGAAAGCAGAAGAAGAGGAAGAAAGCAGAAGAAGAGGAAGAAGAAGATGAAGAAGAAGAAGCAAAAAGAAGAAGAAGGAAGAACAAAAAGAAGAAAGCAGAAGAAGAAGAAGAAGAAGAATAAGAAAGAAGACAAAAAAGAAGAGAGCAGAAGAAGAGAAAGTAGAAGAAGAAGAAGAAAGCAGAAGAGAGAGAAAGAAAGCAGAAGAAGAGGAAGAAGAAAGAAGAAGAAGAAGAAAGCAGAAGAAAAAGAAGAAGGAGAAGAAAGAAGAAGAAGAAAGAAAAAGAAGGAAGAAGAAAGAGGAAAGGAAGAAGATGAAATAAGAAGAAAAAAGATGAAGAAAAAGAATAAACAAACAAGACATAGAAGGACGAAAAGGAAAAAAGAAACAGACGAATGCTTGTTGTAATTAGAGAATATTTGCTTCTCCCGGAGTTTCCATCTCGTTGTACATCAGCCTCCCCGTACTGACCCCGGGGTGACACCATTAGTTTCAGTGAATGTCCCATGACACCCCGAGAGTGGTGAGTAATCCCCAATGATGGGGGGGGGTGATGGAGACATATTCAGCTCTATATGACACACACGGCTACGGTTCCTCAGGGGTTAATGATTGCACAATGGATTATATGAGCCAATATTTGCTGAATCTCTGCCCCGCCCCCGTCTGGTAACTAAACCGAGACCTTTATCTGCGGGGAGCCGGCTTACTCTGCATTTATCGACCAGGAGAGACTATCGGCCGCGGGCGTGCCACACCGGACAGAACACAATGGCCAACTGGGCTGCCTATCTCCTCATCTTCTGTCTCTTGGCGGCATCTCAGGCGGCGCCGATTCCCCAGGACCCCCAAGATTTGGGAACAAGCTCTGTACCCAGCAAAGTAAGTTCCCGCCAGACCGATCCATTCAGTGTCGGAGGGGGCACACTAAAATATATAGAGAAAGGACTAGAACCCGTCAGGTTTATATTGCTGTCTGTGTCTCCACTGGGGATGAAGGTGGCAGGAAATCACAAATTCTCTAGGTGTCACCAGAACCAGAAATCTTCCAATGGGGACACCTCTTCAGGTGACAGTTGGGGAGGAGCTTCAGTTCCTGAATTTCTGGCGCAGAAGTCGATGTACAGAAGGTCTCTAGTCTGTGAACAAGGTAGTATTGGATTGTAGAATTGTAAATTTGACCCTGCCAGAGCCTTTTTTTTTTTTGCATTTTTTTGCACACAGAAGACCTGGAGACCCTGGAGAATAAAATAGTGGCAGTTCCATTTTTTTTTTTTGTTTCGCACGGTGTTAGCACAAAAGTTTAGGAAATGCAAAATTTCAGCAAAAATAGTCAAAAGTTAACTTTAGAGCACATAAACAGAATGTATTACTCAATTTTGTGATCACATATAAAAGATGCCCACATGGAAGAAAAATATATTTTAAAAATATTCTTCTCAAATACTATAATTTTGGCCATATTCAATATATTTCAAAATATATTTAAATATATATATATATATATATATATAATTATTATTATTATACAGGATTTATGGCGCCAACAGTTTGCTCAGCACTTTACAATATAATAGGAGACAATACAGTTCAATACAAGAGGGATAGGAGGGCCCTGACCCTGGGAGCTTACAATCTAGGATATATATATATTGTATGTTGAAATGCGTTTTTTATTAAAAAATATATGAACAATATTTTAAAAAATACATTTCAAATACACTGTATGTCTTTAAAAATACAAATCTACATTTTTGGAATGCGTTTACAAATATATGTAAAAATATATGTTAAAATGACTTTTTTATATGTCAAAAAAAAATCTGAAGAATATATTTAAAAAAAATATATTTTTAAAAATAGTTTTCATCTATTTTGAAATATATTAAAAATCGCATTTCAACATTCAGTACATATATGTGTGTGTATTGAAATATATTTTGAATTATAAAATATGAAAGCGGCCAGCTACCCCCACATAGAAGAAAAATATATTTGAAATACTACAATTTTGGCCGTATTCAATATATTAAAAAAAAAAAATATATATATATATATATATATATATATATATATATATATATATATACTGTATGTTGAAATGCATTTTTTTATAACATACAAAAAATATCAAAAATATTTTTAAAAATATATATTTTTTAAAATATATTCTTCAGATTTTTTTTAACATTTAAAAAAGTCATTTTGACATATATTTTTATATATATCTGTAAATGCATTCCAAAAATGTAGATTTGTATTTTTAAAGACATGCAGTATATTTGAAATGTATTTTTAAAAATATTATTCATATATTTTTTAATAAAAACGCATTTCAACAGCGTCCGGACTGGAAGGGGGTGAAAGTGTCCAGACAGGAAGGGGGGGAAAGTGTCCGGACTGGAAGGGAGTGAAAGTGTCCGGACTGGAAGGGAGTGAAAGCGTCCGGACTGGAAAGGGGGTGAAAGTGTCCGGACTGGAAGGGGGGGAAAGTGTCCGGACTGGAAGGGGGGGGGGGAAGTGTCCGGACTGGAAGGGGAGGAAAGTTTCCGGACTGGAAGGGAGTGAAAGTGTCCGGACTGGAAGGGGGTGAAAGTGTCCAGACTGGAAGGGGGAAAGTGTCCGGACTGGAAGGTGGGAAAGTGTCCGGACTAGAAGGGGGGTGAAAGTGTCCAGACTGGAAGGGGGGGAAAGTGTCCGGACTGGAAGGGGGGAAAGTGTCCGGACTAGAAGGGGGGTGAAAGTGTCCAGACTGGAAGGGGGGGAAAGTGTCCGGACTGGAAGGGGGGGGAAGTGTCCGGACTGGAAGGGGGGGAAAGTGTCCGGACTGGAAGGGGGGGAAGTGTCCGGACTGGAAGGGGGGGAAAGTGTCCGGACTGGAAGGGGGTGAAAGCGTCCGGACTGGAAGGGGGTGAAAGCGTCCGGACTGGCAGGGGGGAAAGTGTCCGGACTGGAAGTGGGGTGAAAGTGTCCGGACTGGAAGGGGGGGAAAGTGTCCGGACAGGAAGGGGGGAAAGTGTCCGGACTGGAAGTGGGGTGAAAGTGTCTGGACTTGAAGGGGGGTGAAAGTGTCCGGACTGGAAGGGAGTGAAAGTGTCCGGACTGGAAGGGGGTGAATGTGTCCGGACTGGAAGGGGGGTGAAAGTGTCCGGGCTGGAAGGGGGGTGAAAGTGTCCGGGCTGGAAGGGGGGTGAAAGTGTCTGGACTGGAAGGGGGGAAAGTGTCCGGACTGGAAGGGGGGTGAAAGTGTCCGGACTGGAAGGGGGTGAAAGTGTCCGGACTGGAAAGGGGTGAAAGTGTCCGGACTGGAAGTGGGGTGAAAGTGTCTGGACTGGAAGGGGGGGAAAGCGTCCGGACTGGAAGGGGGGGAAAGCGTAAGGACTGGAAGGGGGTGAAAGTGTCCGGACTGGAAGGGGGGAAAGTGTCCGGACTGGCAGGGGGGAAAGTGTCCGGACTGGAAGGGGGGAAAGTGTCCGGACTAGAAGGGGGGTGAAAGTGTCCGGACTGGAAGGGGGGGAAAGCGTCCGGACTGGAAGGGGGGGAAAGTGTCCGGACTGGAAGGGGGGGGGAAGTGTCCGGACTGGAAGGGGAGGAAAGTGGTTCCGGACTGGAAGGGAGTGAAAGTGTCCGGACTGGAAGGGGGTGAAATTGTCCGGACTGGAAGGGGGGAAAGTGTCCGGACTGGAAGGGGGGAAAGTGTCTGGACTGGAAGGGGGGGAAAGTGTCTGGACTGGAAGGGGGTGAAAGTGTCCGGACTGGAAGGGGGGGGGGAAAGTGTCCGGACTGGAAGGGGGTGAAAGCGTCCTGACTGGAAGGGGGTGAAAGTGTCCGGACTGGCAGGGGGGAAAGTGTCCGGACTGGAAGGGGGGTGAAAGTGTCCGGACTGGAAGGGGGTGAAAGTGTCCGGACTGGAAGGGGGGGAAAGTGTCCGGACAGGAAGGGGGTGAAAGTGTCCGGACTTGTAGTAGTGAAAGTGTCCGGACTGGAAGGGGGGTGAAAGTGTCCGGACTGGAAGGGAGTGAAAGCGTCCGGTCTGGAAGGGGGTGAAAGTGTCCGGACTGGAAGGGGGGGAAAGTGTCCGGACTGGAAAGGGGGGAAAGTGTCCGGACTGGAAGGTGGGAAAGTGTCCGGACTAGAAGGGGGGGAAAGTGTCCGGACTGGAAGGGGGGAAAGTGTCCGGACTAGAAGGGGGGTGAAAGTGTCCAGACTGGAAGGGGGGGAAAGTGTCCGGACTGGAAGGGGGGAAAGTGTCCGGACTAGAAGGGGGGTGAAAGTGTCCAGACTGGAAGGGGGGGAAAGTGTCCGGACTGGAAGGGGGGAAAGTGTCCGGACTGGAAGGGGGGGAAAGTGTCCGGACTGGAAGGGGGGGAAAGTGTCCGGACTGGAAGGGGGTGAAAGCGTCCGGACTGGAAGGGGGGTGAAAGCGTCCGGACTGGAAGTGGGGTGTGGAAAGCGTCCGGACTGGAAGGGGGGGAAAGTGTCCGGACAGGAAGGGGGGTGAAAGTGTCCGGACTAGCAGGGGGGAAAGTGTCCGGACTGGAAGTGGGGGTGAAAGTGTCTGGACTGGAAGGGGGGGAAAGCGTCCGGACTGGAAGGGGGGGAAAGCGTCCGGACTGGAAGGGGGTGAAAGTGTCCGGACTGGAAGGGGTGAAAGTGTCCGGAATGGCAGGGGGGAAAGTGTCCGGAATGGCAGGGGGGAAAGTGTCCGGACTGGAAGGGGGGAAAGTGTCCGGACTGGAAGGGGGGAAAGTGTCCGGACTAGAAGGGGGGTGAAAGTGTCCGGACTGGAAGGGGGGAAAGCGTCCGGACTGGAAGGGGGGGAAAGCGTCCGGACTGGAAGGGGGTGAAAGTGTCCGGACTGGAAGGGGTGAAAGTGTCCGGAATGGCAGGGGGGAAAGTGTCCGGACTGGAAGGGGGGAAAGTGTCCGGACTGGAAGGGGGGAAAGTGTCCGGACTAGAAGGGGGGTGAAAGTGTCCGGACTGGAAGGGGGGAAAGCGTCCGGACTGGAAGGGGGGTGAAAGTGTCCGGACTGGAAGTGGTTAAAGTCCAACTGTGGTCAAAGAAACCACTTTAGAACTGCTGCTCCTCTCAGATGAAGGAACTTGGGTAGTCCTGTAAATGCCAACAATGAGAATGAAAGAGTGAGAGAGGGCGCCACCTTCTAAGTGTAGTTTATTAAAAACGATTTAATAGCAAAAATATAATGCACTCACTTTGTGACAATGGATACTGGAGTATAACAAGGATGTGGTCCAATCTGTCTACCCTGGCATGGATCATCTGCTGGGGAAGGGGTAACCAATGACCTTGTCACTGGGCGTCATGCAGGGCCGGACTGACCATTCAAGCCCTCGGGCACTGCCCGAAGGCACGGGGTCAGTAGGGTCCTAATGAAATGCCCCTTGTACCTTTTATAGGCTTTTTTTGAGTGTCGGCAAGGAGACAGGGGCCCCACGATCCCCTATTGCCCGGGGGAACCATGAGTTGTCAGTCCGCCCCTGGCCTCATGTACACATGAAATCCTCTAGACGTTTAGCTCTCCTGGCAGCAGAAACACGCTAAGCTCGCCAAAAACATGAGTAAACGCGGTACCGCGTTTAGCGATTGGACGTTCATTCATTTGATTGGCCAGAGTATTTTCCGTTGAGATGAATAAGTGCCCATTGGTTTTCATTGAGTTGAGTTCAGAGGCTTTGCCAAAAAAAACCTCCAAAAGCTCCTAAGCTCACGTTTGCGGTGTACACGAGGCCTCAAATATTTTCCAAAATGAAATTCCATCCTAAGTAATACTTTGACTTCCCTTTAGGTGACCACAGCCTTACGTCCCCATCTGAAGGATCTGAAAGCAGGTGGTAAGAAGGAGCCACAACATCAGCACAATATGGATGGGTCAAGCCAAGCTTCTTGCATTCCCTGCATACTCACCTTGCTTCCTGGTCGATGATGAAGATTCCACATCCCACCACATTCCAGAAGGTGATGCTGATCCCCCCTCTTCTCTGTCCTCCTGTTCTTGATTCACTTCACCCCACACCAGGTACACAGACCCGAGAACACAACAAAGACTTCTCCCCAATGGAACCCATAGGAGGTACAAGAAACCATTGGTGGTGGACCTCTGTAGCATCATCCAACCTATGGAGATCGGTGTAGGGTGGGCCGAGCCGTTTATAGACTGGAGTAACAAAAATAAAGAAAACATGTACTGTATGCAAAGCTGTTTTCTCTGTTGACTCTCCATTTATTTTCACGTCAGTTTTAAAATGTGCTCAAAAGTCTCCTTCTCCTGGCAGAAATGGTGAAATTTCAGCATTGATATTGAAAATCTGACCGATCATGCCGGAAAACTGTCTTTATTGAAGGATAGTGATGATAGGACGCCATTTATTATGACGTAGTTGTTCGGCTCCTTTTTAAATCCTAATGATACCAGAAATCCCCCAAATGGCCCGGATCAGAAGTCTCCGCCCCTGGATCAGAAGTCTCCTCCTCCTGAAAGGTTTGGCCTTGGTAGGGACCCACAAGGGGACACACACAGGGTACAATGGCAATTAAAGGTTCATTTCCCACATCTCTGGCTTTTTACATTGCAATTAGTGTCTGTGTATACATAGTCCAAGGCTCAAAATTTCCACTCGCCTGCTCGCATTTGGTGAGTGGAAATAACGTGGGGGGCGAGTGTTGTCGCTCAGGTATACTCTTTATTCCTACTAAGGGGGATATTTGCAGACTGTCCCCTCCACAGCGCACCAATCAGAAGTGGCCAGATTCTCCTCCAGCCCCCTCCCCGAATGCCTGGCAGAACGGAGTTGGGCAGAGCTCAGGGTACACATGAGGTACTCCGGGCTGTCAGTCTCTGACCATCTCATGTATCATGTCTGCTGTCTCTGTCCATCTCCAGTTTCATATCTATATTCTCTGACCATCTCCTGCAGTATGTCTGCAGTCTCTGACCGTCTCCTGTAGTGTGTCTGCAGTCTCTGACCATCGCCTGTAGTGTGTCTGCAGTCTCTGACCGTCTCCTATTTTATGTCTGCAGTCTCTGACCATCTCCTGTAGTATGTCTGCAGTCTCTGACCATCTCCTGTACTGTGTCCGCAGTCTCAGACCATCTCCTGTAGTATGTCTGCAATCTCTGACCATCTCCTGTACCATGTCTGCAGTCTCTGACCATCTCCTGTACCATGTCTGCAGTCTCTGACCATCTCCTGTACTATGTCTGCAGTCTCTGACCATCTCCTGTACTATGTCTGCAGTCTCTGACCATCTCTTGTACTGTGTCCGCAGTCTCAGACCATCTTCTGTAGTATGTCTGCAATCTCTGACCATCTCCTGTACTATGTCTGCAACCTCTGACCATCTCCTGTACTGTGTCCGCAGTCTCTGGTCATCTCCTGTACCATGTCTACAATGTCTGACCGTCTCCTGTACTATGTCTGCAGTCTCTGACCGTCTCCTGTACTATGTCTGCAGTCTCTGACCATCTTGTGTAATATGTCTGCAGTCTCTGACCGTCTCCTGTACTGTGTCCGCAGTCTCAGACCATCTTCTGTAGTATGTCTGCAATCTCTGACCATCTCCTGTACTATGTCTGCAATCTCTGACCATCTCCTGTACTATGTCTGCAATCTCTGACCATCTCCTGTACTATGTCTGCAATCTCTGACCGCCTCCTGTACTATGTCTGCAACCTCTGACCATCTCCTGTACTGTGTCCGCAGTCTCTGGTCATCTCCTGTACTATGTCCGCAGTCTCTGGTCATCCCCTGTACTGTGTCCGCAGTCTCTGGTCATCTCCTGTACTATGTCCGCAGTCTCTGGTCATCTCCTGTACTGTGTCCGCAGTCTCTGGTCATCTCCTGTACTATGTCCGCAGTCTCTGGTCATCTCCTGTACTATGTCCGCAGTCTCTGGTCATCTCCTGTACTATGTCCGCAGTCTCTGGTCATCTCCTGTACTGTGTCCGCAGTCTCTGGTCATCTCCTGTACTGTGTCCGCAGTCTCTGGTCATCTCCTGTACTATGTCTGCAACCTCTGACCATCTCCTGTACTGTGTCCGCAGTCTCTGGTCATCTCCTGTACTGTGTCCGCAGTCTCTGGTCATCTCCTGTACTATGTCCGCAGTCTCTGGTCATCTCCTGTACTATGTCTGCAGTCTCTGGTCATCTCCTGTACTATGTCTGCAATCTCTGACCGTCTCCTGTACTATGTCTGCAATCTCTGACCGTCTCCTGTACTATGTCTGCAGTCTCTGACCATCCCTTGTAGTATGTCTGCAGTCTCTGACCATCCCTTGTAGTATGTCTGCAGTCTCTGACCATCCCTTGTGGTATGTCTGCATTTTCTGACCATCTCCATTTTATGAGATAATTTACGAGGGCATTTTTAGGGGCGGAATTAGGGGCGGGGCAGGGTAACAGTTGGGTGGGGCAACTGGTGGTGAGCAACTCTTAAGGCCTGGCTAGTAGCACAGTAAATTTTGAGCCCTGACATAGTCAAAGAGTTTGTTAGCTCTCAGGTGGATGCAGACTAGATACTGAGTCATGGGGAGCAGAAAAGAACTGTCATAAGACCTGTGCAACAAGGTAATGAAATATTATAAAGATGGAAAAGGATATAAAAAGATACCTAACTGTATGTCAGGTCTGAGGGATGAAACATCAGGAGAGACTGCAGGAATCAAAAGTGGTTGTAAACCCTTCCATATACCCAAACAAGTGACTGGTCTCAGGTGATACACAAAACCTCCTACATACGTTGTACCTGTTTATCTGTACCATCTGTCCCCCTACATCCATTCAAAGTGCAGAATATACACAGGATCTCTCAGCTCTGAAAAAGCAGGGGGTGGAGAGCTGACATTACATCAGTGATGAGAGCTCTGACAGCTGATTGAAGGGAAGAGACACCCCCCCCCCCTTCACACAGCAAACAGGAACAGAGCTGAGGCTGTCAATCTGCCGGAGGTCCCTCCCCTGTCACCATTTTTCTCTGGGTGTCAGAAAAAAATTCATCAGAAGTGATTTATGAAGATAGCAGAGGAAGGAGGCAGCAGACAGAAATGACACTTAGTGCTCTGGACTGAGACAAGTACACACTATAGAGGGGTGTTCTTTGTTCATATTTCATGTCTGAGGTTTACAGCCACTTTATTTAATACATACATGTAATTAAGGGGTGTATGTGGAGGATGGATGTAAAATAGTTTTTACCTTGGGAGGTACCATCCCTATGCCTTAAATGTGTCTAGGGCAATATCATTTGGGACTCTGATTACTACCTGCAGAAGTGTGACACCAACCAACAATGTCAATATATAAAAAACATATTTTATTGATGCATTCTACATACACTATAGTGCCAAAAGTATTGGCCCCGCCCTCCCAATCTTGTGATTCAGGTGTTCCAATCCCCTCCATATCATGTGATTCAGGTGTTCCAATCCCCTCCCAATCATGTGATTCAGGTGTTCCAATCCCCTCCATGGACACAGGTGTATACAGTCAAGCCCCTAGGCATGCAGACGGCTTCTACAAACATTGGTGAAAGAATGGGTCGCTCTCAGGAGCTCAGTGACTCCAAGCGTGGTCCCGTGATAGGTGGCCACCTGGGCAATAAGTCCATCCGTGACATTTCCTGGCTACTAAATATTCCACGCTCAACTGTTAGTGGGATTATAACAAAGTGGAAGCCACTGGGAACAACAGCCACTCAGCCACCAAGTGGTAGGCCACGTCACATGACAGGGAGGGGTCAGCCCATGCTGAAGCGCACAGTGCGCAGAAGTCGCCAACTGTCTGCAGAGTCAATAGCTAAAGACCTCCAAACTTGGTGTGGCCTTCAGATGAGCCCAACAACAGTGCGTAGAGAGCTTCATGGAATGGGTTTCCATGGCCGAGCAGCTGCATCCAAGCCTTCCATCACCAAGTGCAATGCAAAGCGTCGGATGCTGTGGTGTAAAGCACGCCGCCACTGGACTCTAGAGCAGGGGAGATGTGTTCTCTGGAGGGACCAATCACGCTTCTCTGTCTGGCAAGCTGATGGATGTGTCTGGTTTTGGCAGTTGCCAGGAGAACGGTACTTGCCTGACTGCATTGTGCCAAGTGTAAAGTTTGGTGGAGGGGGATTATGGTGGGGGGTTGTGTTTCAGGGGTGGGGCTTGGCCTCCTAGTTCTAGTGAAGGGAACTCTTAAGGCGACATTTTAGACAATTTCATGCTCCCAACTTTGTGGGAGGAGTTTGGGGATGGCCCCTTCCTGTTCCAACATGACTGCCCACCAGTGCACAAAGCAAGGTCCATAAAGACATGGAGGAGCCAGTTTGGGGTGGAGGAACTTGACTGTCCTGCACAGAGTCCTGACCTCAACCCCATAGAACACCTTTGGGATGAATTAGAGCGGAGACTGCGAGCCAGGCCTCCTCCCCCGACATCAGTGCCTGACCTGACAAATGTGCTTCTGGAAGAATGGTCCAACCTTCCCACAGACACCCTCCTAAACCTTGTGGACGGCCTTCCCAGAAGAGTTGAAGCTGTTACAGCTGCAAAGGGCGGGGCCAACTCAATATTGAACCCTACGGACTAAGACTGGGGGGCCATTAGAGGTCATGTGCGTGGAAAGGGCGGGGCCAACTCAATATTGAACCCTACGGACTAAGACTGGGAGGCCATTAAAGGTCATGTGTGTGGAGAGGGCGGGGCCAACTCAATATTGAACCCTACGGACTAAGACTGGGAGGCCATTAAAGGTCATGTGCGTGGAAAGGGCGGGGCCAACTCAATATTGACCCCTACGGACTAAGACTGGGAGGCCATTAAAGGTCATGTGCGTGGAAAGGCCGGCCGACCAATACTTGGGGCAATATAGTGTATATCACAAAAAATCATCATAAAATATTGTGATCTTAAAAATATGTGAACATTGTGTTACTTTTGCATAAATATATATCTGTTCCTGAGATCCTAGTCTTATGTGGCCGACACGTTTCGCTGGAAACCCGCTTCCTCAGGGCCTTGGATCTCGCTATACAAAGACTGTGATCTTATGGCCCTCTATAGTCCCCCATAGTGCTTGATTTTATTTTGGGAGGGGGGATTTTTGATGAGACATAATGTCCATACATTTTGGGGGGGGGCTGTTTGGCATCTTCGCCCTAGGCACTAGATGACCTTGTCCCAGCACTGCTGGTCTGTACTCACTAATATCCCTGGATATGTGGATGCCACCTTCCAATATCAGCCAGACAGGTCTCCTGTGAACTCTTCAGACCAGATCTACAGAAGAAAATCCCTCCAGTCAGATCCCGCAAAGTTAAGTTTAGTTCCCTTCGGGCTGGGAACTTCTCCAGCTGCCCCTCCACCCTAGGCCTCAAACTATTTATGCGCTCTTCAGCCACCTACTGGGCACCACTACCTTCCAGAACCAGGGGGGAAGCAATCAAACTCACAACCTGTGAAACTCAGAGCAAACCAGAGCGATCACAAGCTGCTCCACGGACTAGAGAGGAGCTAAAGAACTACATTTTACCTAACCTAGCTAGCACCTAACTAGGAGGGTGCTCCATACAGTCTGGAGGAAAGAAGGGAAAGGATGGACATGGCTGGAACCTTTAAATACAGCAAGAGTGTGAAGCCAAGATGAAGAATACGGGGACAGGACCTCCAACTAGAGCAGGAACGTAAAACACTAACTTTAACCAGTATTATTTCACTGGAAGAGTAGTGGAGGCTTGGGAAGAGACGTCCAGTAGAGGTAGTGAGTCAGCCAACTGAAAGTGGAGTGGAACGTACTTGGGACAAACATCGATCTATACTCAGACAAAAAAAGGTTTCACCGCTTGCCACCCGTCCTCAGGACATTTACTGCGGGTGGGCTGCACGGGGCAGTCTGGATCACGTACATGTATGTGATCCAGCCTGATCCTGTTTAGGAGCGCACAGCGGACACAGTGGATTGTGGCTCCCAGTATCGGGCCGCTTCAAGTTACACGATCACATGATCACAATGGCAAACAAAGCTGTTATGAATGAATGTCAGTCATAAAAGCTACGCTTTCTATACAGTGATGCTGTGATTAGCCCACAGCTATCACATGGTACCCAGGCCAGTCTCAGCGCCCTGTACCATGTGATTAGCTGTAGCCGATCACAGATCATAGATCACTAGTAGTCACACCTGTTTATAAGTGAAACCCATTCATGACAGTTTAAAACATTGCCATCACAGCGATTTTCATTGTAGCAACAAAGTGTAGAGAAAAGTAGTACAGTGTTACTATGGTGACAACAAACAACTCTGATGAAAGTGTGTTAAAATAAAAAAAAAAATATATATATATATAATATATATATATATATATATATATATATATATATATATTTATTTTTTTTTTAACATACTGTCACCAGTCAGTATCCCTGATCATTGCCACCACACCAGTCATATGGTGGCACTGTACTGCATTGGTGATAGTATGTAAGGAATTGTAAAAAAAAAATAAAAAATAAAAAACACACATTTTATTTAATTTCTTCATTTTCCAAAGTATTGTGACAAATAATTACAAAAAACTCACCACGCCTCTTGCTAAATGCTTCGGACTATCTACTTTCCCAAAAAGGGGTAATTTGGGGGGGATTTGTACTGTCCTGACATTTGGGGGGGGATTTGTCCTGTCCTGACATTTTGGGGGAGATTTGTTACCGTCCTGACATTTGGGGGGGATTTTTAGTGTACCGTCCTGACATTTGGGGAGGGGGGATTTGTACTGTCCTGACATTTGGGGAGGGGGGATTTGTACTGTCCTGACATTTGGGATTAGGGATTTGTACTGTCCTGACATTTGGGGAGTATTTGTACTGTCCTGACATTTGGGGGATATCTGTACTGTTCTGACATTTGTGGGGGGGGGGGGATTCTGTACTATGTCCTGACATTTGGGGGGATTTGTACTGTCCTGACATTTGGGGGGATTTGTACTGTCCTGACATTTGGGGGGGGGGGGGGGGGTTGTACTGCCCTGACATTTGGGGGGATTTGTATTGTCCTGACATTTTGGGGGGTATCTTTTGTACTGTCCTGACATTTTGGGGGATTTGTACTGTCCTGACATTTGGGGGGGATTTGTATTGTCTGACATTTTGGGGGGGATTTGTACTGTCCTGACATTTGGGGGGGATTTGTACTGTCCTGCATTTGGGGGGGATTTGTATTGTCCTGACATTTGGGGGGATTTGTACTGTCCTGACATTTGGGGGGATTTGTACTGTCCTGACATTTGGGGGGGATTTGTACTGTCCTGACACATTTGGGGGAGATTTTGTACTGTCCTGACATTTGAGGGGATTTTATACTGTCCTGACATTTTGGGGGGGATTTGTACTGTCCTGACATTTGGGAGGATTTGTACTGTCCTGACTTTTGGGGGGGGGGGGGGGTTGTACTGCCCCGACATTTGGTGGGGGGGGATTTGTATTGTCCTGACATTTTGGGGGGTATTTGTACTGTCCTGACATTTTCTGGGGGGATTTGTACTGTCTTGACATTTGGGGGGGATTTGTACTGTCCTGACATTTGAGGGGATTTATACTGTCCTGACATTTGGGAATTGGGGGAAAATTTGTACTGTCCTGACATTTGGGGGGGGATTCGTACTGTCCTGGCATTTGGGGGGGATTTGTGCTGTCCTGACATTTGGGGGGAATTTGTACTGTCCTGACATTTGGGGGGGGATTTGTTCTGTCCTGACATTTGGGGGAATTTGTATTGTCCTGACATTTGGGGGGGATTTGTCATGTCCTGGCATTTGGGGGGATTTGTATTGTCCTGACATTTGGGGGGATTTGTATTGTCCTGACATTTGGGGGGGGGTCAGTACTGTCCTGACATTTGGGGGGATTCTTACTGTCCTGACATTTGGGGGGGATTTGTCCTGTCCTGACATTTGGGGGGGGTTTGTACTGTCCTGACATTTGGGGGAGTTTGTACAGAAATGCCCGTAGCGAAAGAAAGAAGAATAGCGCAGGGCATACATGACTAGGCCCCAGAGTGGGGGGAAGGAAGAGCAGAAAGGGTTAAGGTAGCTCCAGGGGGATTTGTTTATTGTTAGTGGAGGGTAGCTGATTGGTAGAGGTTGGTGTAGGTGGGGTTTTGCTGCACCTTAGGGTGGGAGGTTCTGTGAGAGGGGGCGTCAGTTAGCTGGACGGCAAGAGTGTGAGCTTCCCTCCCGCCCTCCCTGTTTGGGTGAGTTTTGGGTCCCTCCAGGTGAAGGGGGGGATTCTGTTGGTTCATGGGCGGTTGTTGGTGTTTGGAGGCGGTTCTTAGTTGGACGGTAAACAACAATGGTGTGGGACCCATCGGTGGTATGGGGGGCCGGGGACATTCCCAGTTAACCGAGGTTTAACTGGAAGGTGGTGGTGCTGCACTGCGGACGGTATGGTTGTCTCCGAGCTGGTTGGTTGCGGCTGGAGGCCTAGTGTATATGGTTGTCCGCAGGTGCATTTCGGATCATTTTGGGGTGCTTTCGAAGACCAACAACAATTCTGGGGGTTTCTGTTATACGGCATGGTTGGTGGCGGTTGTTGGTCTTTGGAGGCGGTTCTTATTTGGAAGGTAAACAACAATGGTGTGGGACCATCGGTGGTTATGGTGTGCCCCGGGGACATTCCCAGTTAACCGAGGTTTAACTGGAAGGTGGTGGTGCTGCACTGCGGACGGTATGGTTGTCTCCGAGCTGGTTGGTTGCGGCTGGAGGCCTAGTGTATATGGTTGTCCGCAGGTGCATTTCGGATCATTTTGGGGGTGCCTTCGAAGACCAACAACAATTCTGGGGGTTTCTGTTATACGGCATGGTTGGTGGCGGTTGTTGGTCTTTGGAGGCGGTTCTTATTTGGAAGGTAAACAACAATGGTGTGGGACCCATCCGTGGTATGGGATGCCCGGGGACATTCCCAGTTAACCGAGGTTTAACTGGAAGGTGGTGGTGCTGCACTGCGGACGGTTATGGTTGTCTCCGAGCTGGTTGGTTGCGGCTGGAGGCCTAGTGTATATGGTTGTCCGCAGGTGCATTTCGGATCATTTTGGGGTGCCTTCGAGACCAACAACAATTCTGTGGGTTTCTGTTTATAAGGAATGGTTGGTGTATTGTAACTTGAGTTGCTATTAAAAGGCCATGTTGGCCATTTACTCCAAAATTGGTGTTATGTCTTTTGTTAGTATAATTGGTTAAGGGGAAGGGGGGGTTGGCACGGAACGGTAATGGTGGTAATGGGGAAGTGGACGAGCCTATCTCTGGTTTAATAGTCATGTCCTGACATTTGGTGGGGTTTGTCCCATCCTGACATTTTAGTGCCTCAAGAAATGAGATGGGCCGTCAGTACATCAGGATTGCCCCATTTACAGATATACATCCCATAGTTTGTAGGCTCCATAACTTTCACACAGACTAAATAATACACTGATTTGGGGTATTTTATTTTACCAAAGAAATAATACATTTTAGCCTAAATTAAATGAAGAAGAAACATTTTATAACGGAAGAAAGAAAAAATGTGGTTTTTTTTTTTAAATGTTCAGTATTTTTTGTTTATATAATAAGGAATAAAAAAAGCCAGTGGTGATCAAATACCACCGAAAGAAAGCTCTATTTGTGTGGAAACATTTTGACATAAATTGAATTTGGGTACAGCGTTGCATGACAGTGCAATTGCCACCCTCAGTAGTGTGGTGCGGAATAGCATAAAAAAAATGGCCCGGTCATGTATATTGAAATATATTTGGAAATATAATGACTACGGCCCAAAATTGTAGCATTTCAAATATATGTCAATATATTTGGGAAGAATATTTTTACAATATATTTCAAATATATTTTTCTTCCATGTGGGGGCCCCATTGATCCGTGCAGAGTGCGGGTTTTGATGGTCCACTTGTAGATGTGACTAAAACTTGGTTAGTTTGCCTTTAAGTTACCATTTCTAGAATTATGATGTTTCTCGGGGTCACCTGGGCCGCCATGTAACGCGTTCTGCATGAAAAGATACAACCTCACAACCGTCAATACATGTAATCTTCTAATGTGGTGAAGCTTTCAATGGTCTGTAAATGGTGACTCCCAGAACTATGGGGAGGTTCTATGACATTAGTCCTAATCTCCTGATTGCGGGATGTTTGTACGATGCTGAAAGGATTAGGCGTCCCTCCTGTCATCTCACCAACCTAAGGAGCCTGTTTATAAAGGAGAGATGGAATCCCTGGCTGGAGGTTTTCTCAGAGGATCAGGAAACGTCTTTCTGCTTCTGTTACCCCTTCGGGAACATTGCTGAACCTCACCAAGGAACGCCATGTGGCCAAAAGCATCTGGAAACCTGACCACCACATCTGCTAGGTAGCCAAAAGTGTGGACCCCGCTCCAGATGATGGAGGACAGGTATCTCCAGGGAAGGGTGTGGTGAGGTTACATCATACGAAGACACAGTAGACAATTGTATTCTCGTGGTAACAGTTTGGTGAAGACCCCTTTTCTGTTCCACCATGACTGTCCTCCTGTATACAAAGCCAGCGCCTTAATGACATGGTTTGGTGTGACCGGTTTGGTGTGGAGGAATGCGAGTGTCCAACACAGAGCCCCTGACCTCAACCCTACTGAATACCTTTGGGATGAATTGGAATGTTGATGGTGGTGAGCCAGGCCCTCTCATCCAACATCAGTACCTGACCTCAGAGATAGGCCCAAATCCTCCAAAATATTGTGGAAAGCTTCCCATATTTTTAACCTTTAAGGGGGAACAGCTCCATATTATTCCTAGATTGTAAGCTCCCAGGATCAGGGCCCTCCTTTCCCTCTTGTAGTGAACTGTATTATTGCTGTATTGTCTCCCATTATATTGTAAAGCGCTGAGCAAACTGTTGGCACCATAAATCCTTTATAATAATAATAATATTTAATGGTCATGGTGGTGGGGGTGGGGGGACTCCATATTAATGGCCATTGGGACCAACTGCATATTAGTGGTCATTGGGGACCAATTCCATATTAATGGGCGTTGGGGACCAATTCCATATTAATGGGCGTTGGGGACCAATTCCATATTAATGGGCGTTGGGGACCAATTCCATATTAATGGACGTTGGGGACCAATTCCGTAATAATGGCCATGGGTGGCCAACTCCATATTAATGGCTATGGGGGGTATCAACTCCATATTTATGGACATGGGGGGACCAACTGTATAATACTGGCCATTGGGTACCAATTCCATATTAATGGCCATGGGGGCCAACTTCATATTAATGGCCAATGGGGACCAATTCCATATTAATGGCCAATGGGGACCAATTACATAATAATGGCCATGGGTGGCCAACTCCATATTTAATGGCTATGGGGGGACTAACTACATATTAATGGACATGGGGGGGGTCCAACTCCATATTAATGGACATGGGGGGACCAACTATATAATAATAGCTATTGGGGACCAATTCCATATTAGTGGACCATTGCGGAACCAACTTCATAGTAATGGCCATGGACGGCCAACTCCTCATATTAATGGACATGGGGGGGGGGGGGGGTCCAATTTAATTTTTAGTGGCCATCGGGGACAAACTCTCCATATTGATGGCCATGGGTGAGACCAACTCCATATTAATGTCTATGGGGGGACCAACTTCATATTAATGGCCATGGGGGGGTCCAATTTAATTTTTTAATGGCCAATTTTCAGCTTTCAGCGCTGTCGCACTTTGATTGACAATTGCGCTGGGGTCATGCAACACTGTACCCATATGACATTTGTATAATTTTTTTCACACAATAGAGCTTTCTTTTGGTGGTATTTAATCACCACTGGGGGTTTTATTTTTTGCGCTATAAAAAGAGCTCTGTGTTATTAGCGGGGTACCCCAAGGTTCAGTTGTGATTAGTGGGGTAGCCCAATGGTTTAACATTATTAGTGGGGTACCCCAAGGTTCAGTGTTAGTGGGGTACTCAAAGCCTCTGTGTTGTCAGCGGTGTATACCCAAGGTTCAGTGTGATTTAGTGGGGTACCCCAAAGTTCAGTGTTGTCAGTGGTGTACCTCAAGGTTCAATGTCATTAGTTGCTGTCTGACCCTTCTGGAGGTGTGGTTGTCACGCTGTCGGCTCCGCTGTCTGACATGTCCACAGCCACCCCTCTGTCCAATTATACCACGTCCACCCACCCCTCTGTCCAAGTATACCACATCCACCCACCCCTCTGTCCAAATATACCACGTCCACCACCACCCCTCTGTCCAAGTATACCACGTCCACCCACCCCTCTGTCCAAATATACCACGTCCACCACCACCTCTCTGTCCAAGTATACCACGTCCACCCACCCCTCTGTCCAAATATACCACGTCCACCACCA